ACGCAAGCTTTAATTTTGATTATCAGAAGCTCCATGGGGCGGGGCTTCACGGACCTCCAGGCTGCACATTTGTGATAATCCTCACTTGTAATGTAGTTTTCAATGAATATTTTGATATTTGATATAACGACGAGATGAACACTCATCACAGCACAGTCATTAAATGATGCTTCACGATATCTCTCTAACTGAAGGTGACAAAAGGCCTCCACAAAGGTCAAGAGCAGGATTCATGTATTTATCGTGTCAGTTTCGCTTCTTATCACACTTCATACTTTCACTGTCCCACATTATCCTCAGTCTTCTTCTCTTTCTTTCCTGTTGTCTTCTTCTTCTTTTACCTCGTTTATGTCCTGAAAAGGAGATCTCAGTATGACGATGAGAAATGATGCATCATCATTCTGTCTCTTACAAAGTGGTCAACATCGACTTCATCTTAACGCGCGCGAGTTTCAGATTAATAAAATCTGCTCCTTCATCTGCTGAGTTAAATCCTGAAGCATCTCTGTGTCGTCGTCACTGCTGCTGTGATTCAGAGGGAGAAAACGTCTCCTCACTGCACCTGCAGGTTCAACAGGTGGGGGCTGTTTACCCCCCCCCCCCTCATCGTGCTGCACTCAGCAGGAACGTCAGCTCAGTATTAATGAACGATCCTCACGGTGTAAAAGTGTTCTCACAGATTGCTCTGTGACGACGATTCATCAGCTGGATCTATATCTCTACTGTGAAGTTTCATATCTGAACGTATATAAGAAAGAAAAATCGTTTGTTTTCACTTCCAGCGGTGCTGTGCCGGGTTTGTAGATGAATTGTTCGTAAGCCAAAAACCCATAACGTCTAACTGAGCTCTTTCTTTATCTTATTTTTGACTCTCCTCTCCTCTGCCCTTTTCCTCGCTCCTCTTTCTTTAACTTGATTTTTTCCCCTCTCTCTTGTCTTCTCTCTCTGCCTCCATCAGGACACGGATTTCCTCGGTCGCGAGGCCTTGCTGCAGCAGCGTCAGGACGGCGTGTCCCGGCGGTTCGTCATGCTGGTTCTGGAGGACCACGACACGGAGCTGGACCTGTGGCCGTGGTGGGGCGAGCCCATCTACTGCAACGGCCAGCTGGCGGGGACGACCACCAGCAGCGCCTACAGCTACACCCTGGAGCGCCACGTCTGCCTCGGCTTCGTCTCGCCGCCTTTCGGTCCAGAGGGGCTCCCCACGCCCATCACCCCGGACTTCATCAACCGCGGGGACTACGAGGTGGACATCGCCGGCCAGCGCTACCCTGCCAAAGCCAAACTGTACCCCTTCAGCTCGCTCTTCACGCAGCAGAAACGCCGCAAGGACGATCTGGAGATAGGCAACCTGCAGGGGAAGTGAACTTCACCGGGACACTCCTTCAGTCACCAAATCCACTCCTGCTGTTACCTCGCAGTGCCGACTTCTCATCCCCGGTCTCGCCCTTCACCTGAGGGGCTGTGTGCACAATCACTCCGAGTCCCTCTTTATATTTAACTTCCACGACGCCTCTCCCTCGTTCAAAGTGCAATATTTAAGAAGCACCAAATTCTTGAGCCGCATAACGTACAAGAGCTCCTGTTTTTCATCCGACTCTGCAGTTCTTCTTCTTCTTCGGCTCTCCTCTGCGTCGTACTGAACGACTCGACGGCTGCTCGCTGAGACGGTCTGAAGTTAAGTGCCTTTGTGAAGGCAACGTCACCTTTATCTGTTCAGGACTCCTTTTTGTTTCACTTTGTTCACTTTAACCCACTGAGAATCGACAATCTTCTCCTGATGTGGAACGGCCACTTTGATGCTCCGTCTCCGCGGAGCCTGAAGGCGTTTGAGTGAAAAACGTTCTTTAATGCTAACGCCCAAACACTAGATATAATCTGCAACATCAAATTGTACATTTGCTTCTGTAAAGAATATGAGTGGTTAGATGAATGCAGATCCTTTATACGCTCTCTTATATCAACTCCACTGCAGTATCCTAAACGGTGAGGGAACATATCGTACTCAGAGGGATAAAAATCATCATCAGGCTGATTAGCATACGAGCTAACGTTTGTTTTGTGTCTAGTCATCGCTCCTCCTCGTGTCCCGTTAACAAGGCTCCTCTTCTAAAAGCTTAAGAGGAAATTCAGTGTCTTTACCCTCCGCTTTAACCTGTTCTGTTGTCTGATGTGTGTAGAGTTTGTCTGTGATGCATTATGGGTAATGTAGTCCAACTTTTCTTTTTTTGGTTTGAGGTCACTTTGAGGCTGTTTGGATGCTTCAGTTTCGTTTGATGGGTGTGTCGTTGGACGTGTTGATGATGTAAAGGTGAAGAGTGGGATTGCCCGTGACCCCCCCCCCATGTTATATCTCACCTGCATGTTTAGAGTTCTACCTTTTAATTGTGATTAGAAATAAATTAATGTATTTTTGTACAGCTAGTGTGTATAAAATCTCTATTTTCAGAACTGAACATGTTTTCTAGACACTTTCTCCTCTTCTCTCGTCGCCTTCACGCTGCATCATTTGAAACGCTTTCAGAATATTGATCTACTTTTTAAATGTCATCTGTCGGCTGCAGCTTGAAGTTTATTCCATGTGCGTATATATGTGAATGTATCTGCTCCTTTAGTTTCCCTTCAGATAGGGAGGGGCTTTTCTTTTCATCTTTCATGTTTTGAGGAAGTTCAGACTGGACTGGCAGTGAAAGGTCATATCATCAGATGTGGACAGTTAAGTGTTTCATTATCGGTTTGTGTGTCTTCATGTTGTTTCGAGACTCTAAAGGAGTTCATATCGGCCTTTAAGCTTCATGAAGCGTTTATCAATGTCGAGAATGAAGAGGGTGATGTCGTTTGTGATGAAAGGTAAAATGTAGATTTGCACCAATTGTGGAAATCAGGACGGATCTCGATGTTTGAAAGAACAGCTACACTGATTGCTGACAGTGATGTGAAGCTTCATGTCTGTTCTCTGAACGACCCGTGATACATGATGTTTTTAAATTGTAATCCCTCGTCTTGAAATGTCTCTGGAACACATCTCACTGTCTGCATGTCGCTGATCTCGCCCAGAGATGCCGTCAGACTCTCACACTGCCGACCTTCTCAAGTTTGACAGTGAAAACAAATCAGTTTGTTCTCCAGATGACTTTTTCTGCCGGATTTAAACCTCTTCTCTGAATCAGAAGCGTTAAAGGAGGAGTCGGTAGAAATGTTTGTTGCAACGTTCAAACTGGGCCCCTCCTTCTGAGCTCATCGCCCCCTGCAGGATGTAGTGTGTACTGCTTGTAGCTACACTGCAAGCTAACACATGCTAGCACAAGCTAACTGCCGGTGTTTGTCACCTTCCTGTCCAACAGGAAGTAGACCAACTCCACGTCCACGGGTAAAAGACAACACAAGGTTCACCCTCGTTTTAGAACGATCTTTATCCACTTGGTGTTTCTCCTCACTCTCATTATATTTTCTCTTCTTTGCTGCTACGTCCTCGTCCGTCATATTCACCGCTTTGAATCTCGTCCAATCACTGAACTGTATCCTCTCCTAAACTCACCTGCTGCGCTGTCATTGGCTGGAGGAAACACACCAGCTCCGCCCACAAACATCCCGAGTCAACCAGAACAAATCAGAACAGTAAAATGCAGTCAGAGGACAGAGTCTCTGCAGACACAGTCACCACCACACATGTACGGAGGCCCAGAAGGGACAATGGAGCAGCTTTAATTTAGTATTTTATTTTGAAGGAAGAAGGTACTGACTCCATCTTTAACTGACTCCGTCTTCTGAGATCAGTGAGTGCCACATTGTTTTCTGATTGGATGATGCCGGTGATGCGTCGGCTGATTCCACAGTTCGTCTGATACATCAGTGGATGTAAATAACAAAGATGGAGACCGCAGACAGCCCACTACATCATCAGTTATGAATGTTTAACGATGTTGTTTTAGCTGCTGGCTAAAGAGGCGTGCTCACTTCTGATGTCCGACTCGTCGTCTAAACCCGCTCAGTTTGAAGTGTTTGTTCAGCTTCAGTTCAAACATGTTTGTCTCTTCCTCTTTCCAAAGTCTTACTCGTCTCGTGATCAGAGGATTGTCAGCTCTACGCGCTCGCTTTGATGGGCGTCCCGTCTAAATCAGCACGTTTACCTCTTGACAGGAGAGAAACACAGACCGCTCTTTATCATCAAACATGGAGAGCTTCACAATAACCTTCTTTGGTTTATATTCTTCTTTGTTAGGTGATGTCTTACATTTTAAGAATAATTATTGTAAACGGCGTTCTGGAGCCCCCTCGCTAAAGTCAAACAATAAAACCTCCAGAAAGCCAGCTGCAGCAGGAAGTCACTATACAAGGGCTCATTTCTGCGTGTGACTTTAAAAAAAAAAAAAAAAAAAAAGGAAAGAGCTTCTTTTTGTCAGAGTACTTTCTCTTTCTCTATATAAATATTGTTTTGATGACAGATGAAGAGAGACAGGAAGTGTTGGGAGGAGAGAGAGGCAGATGTCGGATTCGAGCCCTTGAGGACTATGGCCTCTGTACATAGGGCGCCCGACATAACATGGGGTCCCGTCCTTCGTTTAGGCAGGAGTTAAGGAATTCTCAGATCTCTGCAGAAACCAGAATCCTGTTCGACAGCGTCCTTTTTTCTTCTTCAAACTGTACCATCTACATTTTTAGGGAATCGGTCCAGAACATTTGCACTAAATAAGGGCGGCGGGCTGGTTTCTTCTGATGTTTAAAAGGCCTCCATGTGATGTCTTTTATTTTGAAAGGTAAGAAAATGTGTCGCGTTGTTAAAAAGAAAGATTGAATGTGCCCCACGCCTCATCAGAAGCACTTGTTGTGACACTCCACTCATCTGGATGTTTGTTCGTGCATGTCCGCCTAAAGTTTGCGTTTTAACGCCACATGTACATGACTGATTTGTAAATGTTTTTTTTTTTTCTGAAGAGCTTTACTACGATGTATTTATATCATGTTTGGCCGTCTGATGCGTATAAAGTCCAATATAAAGAGAACTTTGTTCATACAAGATGGGTCAGCCATGTGTCATCTGTTCATGTTGAGTGTTGTGTGTTCAGCAGTGTGTTGTGTGTTGAGCGGTGTCTGTTGTGTTGAGCGCTCAGTGGTGTGTTGTGTGTTCAGTTGTGTGTTCAGCGGTGTGTTGTGTGTTCAGCGGTGTTGAGCGTTGTGTGTGTAGCATTGTGTGCTCAGCGGTGTGTGTGTTGAGCGGTGTGTTATGTGTGGAGCGGTGTGTGTGCTCAGCGGCGTTGTGTGTTGAGCTGTGTGTGTGTTGAGCGTTGTGTTCAGCATTGTGTGTGTTCTCAGCGGTGTGTTGTGTGTTGAGCGGTGTGTTGTGTGTTGAGCGGTGTGTTGTGTGTGTTGAGCGGTGTGTGTGTAGCATTGTGTGTTCAGCTGTGTGTGTGTTGAGCGGTGTGTTGTGTGTGTTGAGCGGTGTGTGTGCTCAGCGGTGTTGTGTGTGTTGAGCGTTGTGTGTTGAGCGTTGTGTGTTCAGCATTGTGTGTGTTGTGTGTTGAGCGTTGTGTGTGTGTTGAGCGTTGTGTTGAGCGTTGTGTGTGTGTTTAGCGTTGTGTGTTGAGCGTTGTGTGTTTAGCGGTGTGTGTGTTGAGCGTTGTGTGTTGAGCGTTGTGTGTTTAGCGGTGTGTGTGTTGAGCGTTGTGTGTTCAGCATTGTGTGTGTGTTGAGCGTTGTGTGTTCAGCATTGTGTGTGTGTGTTGAGCGGTGTGTGTGTTCAGCATTGTGTGTGTGTGTTCAGCATTGTGTGTGTGTGTTGAGCGTTGTGTGTGTTCAGGCTCTAACACGCCGTCAGTCTGTTTCTGTTCTGTCTGCAAACACCGGCCGGTTAATGAACATCAGAGCGCCTGCAGTGAGACTGAAGGTTTCTTCATGTGTCAACAGTCGCAGTGGAGGACGGAGACACCTGTTCTCTGCTCATTACTAAACACCATCTGCAATTATTTTCACAAATGAATTATGTAAGGTCAGCTCAGAGCCAGAGTTACATAACAAAACACTTTATTAGCATATTACACATAACGCACGCCGTCCTCCTGCTTCTTCCTCCTCCTGCATGCTGTCTCCGCTGAGCTCAAGTCCTTCTGGCTTTGCGTGGGCGGCATCCATTGTGCGGCACGGGGGTGTTGTCAGTGATCGATACCACCTCCAGGCCGCCCATCGTCAGGCCTTGGATCGCAGACTGCAACACAATGCATTCATTCATCAACAACGCTAATGGGAGCGGATCAAGATGTGTCAGTTAGCTTAAACGGCCTTAAATGATCCTCATCATGAGAGGACTGGAATAATTAGAGGTCGTCTTTCTTCATGCACTGACGGGTTTATTTCAGATGCACTCTCAATATTAGATCAAGGCCGAGCAGGTCAGTACTAGAAAATGCAAAACATGTTTGCATTTCATCCCATCGTCCTAAAATGACCCTGAATGCTTTCCATATTTCAGAGGAAATATGAGGCTGCTTGTGCTTATTAAATATTAAAGTTTATACTTCAGTCTGACCGATACAGGATGTTTCAGATCAATATGGATTTAATTTTGGTTATGATTGTGAAAATCTAGATCCTCTTGTTCTGGTTGTTCACACATTCACCTCACAGCTGGAGACTATCCCAGTGAGACAGGATGGGGGCGGGGTGGTTATTTTCCAACATTTATAAATTAAACCATTAAGTTAATAATGAATGAGTCGTTAAAGAAACGACTGGCATGCTTTTTAAAGGTTGAGTTATAAGACAATAGTTTCAGGCTTTTGGGGGCCTGCAGAGATGCACTGAAATGGGATCACGAGGCACTAATGCAAAATAAAAGAAACATTCTTCGTTCTCTTACTCACCTGACGTCCTGGACCGATACCTTTGATGACGACTCGGACAAACGTCACCCCCTTCGCTGTGGCTTTCTGTTCAGAGGAACACACACAGACGATTGATGTCTAAGTTTACAGCCGGTTGAGATTTTATTTCATTTCAGTGCAAAAAGGAAGTGAAAGAGCAGAACGTCCTGTCGCTAAAATGTGTGAACAGGTTCCATTAAAGGAGCAATATGTAACTCTGACACCTAGTGTTTAAAATGGGTACTGCAGTCTAAATTCAAAACATCATAGAGAGCTGTCCCCCCCCCCTCTCTAGAGTGGATGCTCACTCAGGTCACCATGTGGTGGACTCTGAAGCTTCAGTGTTTATCCAGCTCTGCATGGGTCTGTAAACCTTTCTGTGTTCTAACCTCTCTCCATTTTTCAAAAGCATCTCCAATATTGATCCTAGTTTGAGCACGTTTCTGCTCGTGGAGCTTATTAGAAACATGCAGAGGCTTTTTAGGTCGGGTAGGTAGGAGTTTCGGAGAGGGACTCCGGGCCGAGGAGGGATTTCTACTCTCATGAGGTCGGTCGCTACATGTTCATTTTCAGCTCTACAACATGTAAACACAGGAGGTCAGGGTCTAAAATAATCTCACACATCCACTAATGTGACGAAAGACTACAAGGCACTACAATTAAACACTTCCATTTCTCACCCTGTGAATCAGTGTGAGCTCGACCCTGTGAGCCTGCAGTCCACATAAATCACACTAATAAAGAGTCTAAAGAAGCACTTAACACCTCCTGCTGCTCCGTCATCTCCCCCCCGATGAGGCCAGTTTATGTACAACACGTATTTAACATACATCACTTGCAGGCGGAGGAGGGACGCAGTGCTCTTTACTTATATTTATTTATGGTTTTAAAACAAGAATGATTGCACTTCTTTGTTAACATGGTGGCCAATCATTTAGAGAAAGTCAGGGCGCACTGACACTGGAAAGTTGTCCCGTACCGCACTGAAGCATGATTGTCCCCCCCTCCCCATTCCCCCCCGCTGGCCTGCACTCACACTGCTCCAGGACTAACCGGGTCTGAGCATGGTTACCTCTCTCCGTGAGGAAGAGTGTGAGAGTAAAATATGAGAACTCACCGAGGCAGCTGAGATTCCTGCAGTCTGAGCGGCGACTGGCGTCGACTTCTTGATGTTCTTGAAGCCTTCGGTTCCACAGGACGTCCTGACCAGAGACTCTCCTACGCTGTCCGTCATCTGGATGTGTGTGCTGGTACAGAACAGGACAGTTTACCGGGTCACTGGCGCTCAAATGAACTACACAGTCACACAGAGGACGAGAGGTTTGTTCCCCACAACTGGACGGACAGCGTCATGTCATTGTTCAGATTTAGAGTCTGCTCTGTGTCTGCTGCTCTTACTTCTGATTCAGTGAAACTCTCAGAAACTCAGGTGAGGATTTGGTGCCCGACTTGATGCCATATTCATCATCAACATCAAAAAAAAGTGTATCAGCTGAAAAACATCGAGCTATGATCTTTGGGCCCTAGTCAGGTGTTCTCACCTAACCTAAAGTGATATGACGACTTCAAGAAGAAGGAGGAGAAGGAGGAGAAGGAGAGGAAGGAGGAGAAGGAGAGGAAGGAGAGGAAGGAGGAGAAGGAGAGGAAGGAGGAGAAGAGGAGAAGGAGAGGAAGGAGGAGAAGGAGGAGAAGGAGGAGAAGAGGAAGGAGGAGAAGGAGAGGAAGGAGGAGGAGGAGAAGAAGAGGAAGGAGGAGGAGGAGAAGGAGAAGAAGGAGGGGGAGGAGGAGAAGGAGGAGAAGGAGGAGAAGGAGAGGAAGGAGAGGAAGGAGGGGAAGGAGGGGAAGGAGGAGAGGAAGGAGGAGAAGGAGGGAAGGAGGAGAAGGAAGAGAAGGAGAAGGAGAGGAAGGAGGAGAAGGAGGAGAAGGAGGAGAGGAAGGAGAGGAAGGAGGAGAAGGAAGAGAAGGAGAAGGAGAGGAAGGAGAAGGAGAGGAGAGGAAGGAGAAAGGAAGAGAAGGAGAAGGAGAGAGGAAGAGAGAAGGAGGAGAAGGAGAGGAAGGAGGAGAAGGAGGGGAAGGAGGAGAGGAAGGAGGAGAAGGAGAGGAAGGAGAGGAAGGAGGAGAAGGAGAGAAGGAGAAGGAGAGGAAGGAGGAGAAGGAGGAGAAGGAGAGGAAGGAGGAGTAGGAGAGGAAGGAGGAGTAGGAGAGGAAGGAGGAGAAGGAGAGGAGGGATCATCTGAAGGACAGGAAGCTTCTGACTAAAGCTCAGATGGAGGCTCGAGCTCGAGGCCACGCTGAAGCTGCTGCAGGCTCAGGCAGACAATCTGAACGATTACCAGCTCATCAATGATCAATCAATTAGCTTAGCTTAGCATGGAGACTCACACCATTATATTCATAATCTTACTTCTGGCATTTTCACAAATATAAACCTCTTGGAAACAGTTTTCTGCGGGGACACTGAACTCTGAAAAAAGTCTTCAAAGTTTAAAAAATAAGGAAAACTTGTGCACACAACATAATTATTGTGCACAAGTTGGATGAGGCACGAGATCTTTAGTGTTATCTACATTTACATCTGTATTTATTCACATCGGATCCCCATTGGTTGATACCGCAGTGACAACTATTCTATGGCTGCTACTTACTTGTTGTAGGTGGCTTTAATGTGAACGATCGGTAACTCTTCAAACTTCTTTCCTCCCCATCGGAGTGAACTCTCCTGACCGGGGAGTGGAGGAAGCTGGCTGGAGGATTCAAACACAACATCTCAATAAACATTTAAACAGGACAGTGGTTCTCAGCTGATCTCGACTCAGGACCCACCGACACCCGCTAAAGACAAATCATGACCAGACGATGCTGAAGTGTTAAATCCTGCAGTTCCCTGAGTGTCCACTAGAGTCTGGCTGCAGAAGCACAGGAAGTCACATACACACCCATTCTAAAAAGCCTGTTTTTACAGCAGAGATGAACATGTTTACATGTTTATCATGTTTACATGTTCATCTCTACAGATGACCAGTGTGACCCCGCCCCCTTAAACTTCACGACCCACTTTTGGGTCCCAACCCACCAGTTGATAACCACCCATATGGTATGCAAACACACGAGTTAGAAGGGAAACAACACACACACATGGAGGTGTGCGTGTGTGTGTGTGTGTGTGTGTGTGTGTGTGTGTGTGTGTTGTGTGTTGTGTGTGTGTGTGTGTGTGTGTGTGTGTGTGTGTTACCTGAAGTCTTTGGATGTGTTCTCAGAGTCTGCAGCTCCCTGATGTCTCACAGAGCTGCTACATAAAGTCCTCTGCAGTCCAACGTTTCTACATCTGTGGAACACACACACACACACACACACACACACACCACACACACAACACACCTCACTTTTCTGTTCATGTAACATGACGTCAGAGTTAGCCGTCAGCTAACGTGAGTAAACCTGGAACACTTACACAGCACTTCCGGTGGCGTTCGCAGCCACGTGTCGGCACAGACTCCTCACACAGTTTAATGTAAACATGATTAAAGACTCGGAAACGGCGGCTTCGCCCTCAGACAGCGAGCTACAACACACAACGTGACATTGAGGACGCTGTAAGTCCAGATCACACCATTACCACGTAGGGGTTTCAAAGGACTTCAATACATGTATTGCTTAATAAAACACATTTTAACAGATAATATTTAAAAGAGAATATCAACTTTTACTTATTTAATAATTATGTACATTTCTAGTTTATGAGTACAGAGGTTTTTGTCTTTTAAAAAAAGGTGAATTATATAACCTCCCCCGTAGTTCTAACTGAATGAACTGATCGACATCCCGCAAAGAGTTATGGGAAGCTATGAGCGATGCTGCATTCAAAAACTCCGTAAAAATGGCACTTCAACATATAACTGCAGATATCAACGAAACTGTCTCGTTTATGAAAGCAACAAAAATATAAAAAATCTATTTAAATGCTGATGTTGTTATTTTATGAGCATTTTTACATCAACTAAGGGAATCACTTTGATCCAGCCTTTTTTTTTTTATCCTGAGTGAAACCAGAGTGATTCCTTTAATTTCAGACGACCGTGAATGCATCAGAAGAAAATGGCTGCCCCCTGTAGAAGGATGGCGAGTCGGTCTCTCCTACAGTTTCTGTCCGGTTTCAGGAGGACAGCGGCGGGGAAACCGGGACTTCGTGTTTCTTTCGGGACTTCTGCTTGTCGGACGACCCCGCAGACCAAAGCGGTGCCGGACAGAGGGGGGTCACCGTGGACTCTGATGGCGGCGGTGTGTCTGCAGAGGCTTCCGGTCATTTCAGCGGACTGCAGCCCGATAGAGCGGCAGTTCAAAGAGATGCTGCAGCAGGTATGTTTCAGAATAATGTTCACCATGCACACAGTGTAAGACTGCAGCAAGAGGGTCGTTACTGTACAACAAGGGAACATGTTGATGCTGGGGCTACTAAAAAAAAGTTTATTTTATTTTATTTTAATTATTTATTGATTATTATTTATTTTTTATTATTTATTATATTTTATTTGTATTATTTATTTATTATTATTTATTTTATTTTATTTTATTTGTATTATTTATTGATTATTATTTATTTTATTTTATTTTTATTATTTATTTTATTTTTATTTATTATTTATTATTTATTATTTTTTATTTTATTTTTATTCTTTATTTATTATTCTTTATTTATTTTATTTTTATTATTTATTTTATTTTTATTTATTACTTATTATTTATTTATTATTATTTATTTTATTTTAATTAATTTTTATTATTATTATTTATTAATTATTATTTTATTATTTATTTATTATTATTATTTATTATCATTTTTATCTTTATTTATTATTGTCAGCAGGAAATGCAGAGAACTGCTTGGGGCCCCTGGCAAGTAAGGGTCCCATGAGGGCTGACAAACTTTAAATCACAGCAATTTTTAGGAGGAAACCTCCCTAAGGGGGCCCCATCTGACAGTATTCAAGAGTTCCAATATCCCTGTGAAAATTTGAGTTGGTCAGTAAAGTTGCCCTTGGTGTCAGATTATCTTTAATTTAATGGCGATGAATGCTGGTCGGAGCGGTCCTCAGTGAATTTTGCTTCGGGCCCCAACAGACTCCAGAACCGCCCCTGGTCCTGGATATAGGACATTGATTTTGGATAATGTCCTACACAGAATTCACTACAACAGCTGTTCTTAATGGTTGAGAATAACAGCAGAGGCATGTTAAGGATCCTACAATTTAAAACACTTCAGCTCAGATTCTCAGAGATCTGAGAAATACATGAAAACATTTTAATCCCAGAGCTGTGGAGATGGTTTTATTGTGAACTGAACTAGAGGTAAACTGTCTTTGAAAACTGTCATCACAGCTTTGCAGCCATATCGGTTCTGTAACATCTGCATCCATACATGTATTTGTAATGAGCACATGACGATATATGGCCATATGGATTTTTCAAACTCAGCCCTACTTGATACAGAGCTTCTGAAATCCTCCAAAATATAAATAAATAAATACAAATTTTGAGCCCAGGTATAATGATTTTGTTCACATCTAACATGTTCCTGCAATTATCATAAGATGATTATTACTTAGCACAGTTTATGATCTTGTGTGCACAAGATGATTATATTCA